GAAGACCTCATAATAGGCCCCAATGGAGTGAAATGCCGAGGAATTTCTGTTCCACGTGGTTCCTGGTGGGAGAGCTGTGCAGATTATTGCATCTCTAAAAAATAGGGGTTCCCTTGCGTTCTGACCCAGCACAGCACTGCTGAGTCCCATACTGCACGCTAACTAGCAGCTGTGGAACCACCGTTCTGGAGACGTGGCAGTTCCTCCATGGGCAATTCGTATCCAGTGTTCTCTCCCCTGGTGCGGGTGTATCGTCTTCCACCCCCCTGAAATGGCACGTCCAAGCACTTGGCTAAACGAGGGGAGCATCTATTATTTTACCCAGAATTCTCTGATTTATGATTTGCACAGATGGCTGAACGTAAGCTGTCAGAGGAGGCTAGAAATGCCTAGAGAAATTCATCAGTAATGCTGGTGGCATGAAGTCTCTCAGGATGCCAGTATCACACAGCAGAAGGAACGGGAAAGGATCCGAAATATTTCACCACAGTGATGAGACATCACTTTTTCCAGTAATGAAAAAGCTCGTTGTCAAATCACTCCTCAATCTTCTCATGGCTCCAATGGGGAAAACGATGAAATTAAAGATCAGCGTTTTGTTAACGTTGAGGTGATAAAACACAGAACTACAATATTTCTGGAAGAAATTGAAAACCAACCCAATTTTCTGTGGTCCTGAGTACACAGGATAACCAGAGTATCAAGAAGCAGTCAGCTTTCAAACCCAAGTTACAATATGAGTTGGTGCAGAGATGCAGAATACACTGAAATGTATCTGCATTATCCCCATGGCCAGAGAGGAAAACTGCTACGTAATGAGCTGTTATTGAAAGCTACCAAGAAAAGCATCTACCAGATAGGAGTAGCGGACAATCCTTCTTTGCTATGGCAGAGAGTATTGTACACGTCAGTGTATTGCACTGATTGAAATTTTTAGGACATGCATTAGTCAAAATGTAGGATTTATGCAACTTCACATGGATCCAGAAGATCTTTACTAACTCAGCAACGAGCTCAAACAACAATTCTGGCTCTAGCATGAAAATTCATGCAAAAGGACTAAATCCCTCTGGTTGGCCAAGTGCAGGTTCCTGCACTGCCTCGGTTTTAAAAGCCTTATGGCTACTCAGCCCTACCCCACGGCAGAGTCATACTCCTTGTGCAACCACTCCCTTTCCCGGGTGTACCTGTAACGGGCCCATCCCAGTGCCCTCTGTAGAGTGTCTCTCTGAATCCAGTCTGGTCTCACAGTCTGTTTTCCCACTCAGTACAAGAGAGCTACCTCCAGGGCTTCTCCTCTGGGAGGCAATGTCCTAAACAGCTCCCCACTCTGAGATGTCCTTGGTCCTGCCAGCCAGCCAGCCACCCCCCCACCTCTGACCTTCTCTCTTCCATCTAGGCTGCAACTGAGCTGTCTATAGCCCTGCAGCTTATTATACAGTCCCTCCTGGTCCCTGATTGGTTGGTTTTTTCCTAGCCACTCTAGCTGCCTGGAGGACTTTTCTATGGCCCTTCTCTGGCCTGAGGGCATCGCCCACCCCATCACACCCTCTCAACTGAATTAAAATGCAGAGAAGACAATAAAATGGGCCCTAACTAGCCTATCATGCTGACCAATGCTGTCATGTCCTTTCCTTATTCTCTTCATCAGAGCCATCCCTAGATGGGTAATCCTGCTCCGCCTCTTCCAACCTCAGCCCCACCCCCTCCATCCCTTTTCCCAAGCCCCGCCCCAACCTGACTCCAGCCCCTCCCACTGCACCCCTTCCCCAAAGCCCTCTCCCCTGTGCTACACACCCTGGGGGATCACCAGGGGACCTGGCGCAGGGCACCCGGGACAACAAACCCATGGAAGTTTGGAAAACTCCAACGTTTTCCTTGCAAAGGAGCTGAGTCTTTAAAAAGAAATTCTCACTGTCTGAAATATGTGTGTACACAAGGTACTCTTTCCACTGGAGACCTGTTTGGAGTCAGATGGTGGGAAAGGCTAACTGCGATGCTGAGACAGGCCTTCCAAACAGAAAGCAGCTTTAAATCAAGCCATTATGCCATCTCATATCGGTTCTCTTGGAATCAGCCAAATAGAAGATGTGGGCACCGTAGCATCTGAACCATGGGCAGAAACATAGCAAGGTTGTGAATAACTCCCATGTCCAGTCTGGGTCCCTATATTGGCCCCAAACCACTCAGGGTAAAATGTTCAAACACATGTAAGTTAGGTGCCTAAGTCCTTTGGAAAATGAATTGGAATTAGTCTCTAGAGCTTCAAGGGGTAGCTGAGTTAGTCTGTTACAGAAAAAAACAAATGGTCTGGTAGCACTTTATAGACTAACAAAACATGTAGATGGGATCATGAGCTTTTGTAGGCACAGCCCACTTCTTCAGATGACCAGAGTTATGAGTTGGGGATATGAAAACTTGAAATAAATAGGAGAGGGGAAGGGGAGCGGGGAGAGAAAGAAAAAGGGAGGGGGGTGGAGACAGAGCATCATTAAGTATCTGGAGAATGGGTACTTAAACCTAAGCAGATAAAAATCAAAGTCAACAGAAAGATTCCTAAAACAGGAAGGATACCGCTCAGGGAGCTGTTAGCACCTTCAGTGGTTATTAAGTAGGTAGAGTCCCCACCAGCCCACATCATGATTGAGTCCATTAGCATGCGAATTGAATTTGTGGAAGAACTGGGATTCCAGGGCTTCTCTGTGCATTGGGCTTGCAGAGCTAGTTTGTGACAATACAGCTACTTGCAGGTGTGTCAGACTGTGGTTAGGCAAGTTGAAATGCTCACCAACAGGCTTCTGTATATTCCCTTTACATATATCTGATATGTGTCCATTGATTCTTTCCGGCAATCGTGATATCAGCTGGTGGGGACTCTATCTACTTAATAACCACTGAAGGTGCTAACAGCTCCCTGAGTGGTATCCTTCCCATTTTAGGAATCTATCTATTGACTTTGATTTTTATCTGCTTAGCTTTAAGTACCCATTCTCCAGATACTTACTGATAATCTGTCTCCCACCCCCTCCCTTTTTTCCTTCTCTCCCCTCTCCTATTTATTTTGAGTTTTCATATCCCCAACTCATAACTCCAGTCATCTGAAGCAGTGGGCTGTGCCCAGAAAAGCTCATGATATCATCTACATGTTTCATTAGTCTATAAAGTCCTACCAGACCATTTGTTGTTTTAGTCTCTAGAGTCACTCAGGTGCTTTTGAAAATGCTCTGGTGTGTTTGCTTGGACAAAAATCTGCACTAATTGGTCACCAAGTGCCTACTGTCCCTATTACGTTTCTGTAATTGAATTGAGGTTGACCTGTCGTGATTCCTTTCCGGAAAGTGTTCTTTAGTTAAAACAAGGAGTAAGCCACAATAAGGGGTTCCCTGCCTTTTCCCCAAGTAAACAGAGCAACAATTCTTAACCACAACAAAGAGGAGGATAAAAGATAAGTCATATTTTATACTTCACCATCTGTAAAGCAAGAGAAACCTTATTTAATGACACCTAGGATTTACACATGACTCATTAGACAGGGATATAAAATGCACAGCTACATTGAAATTCCTTTCTAAAAGGAACTGCCACTAGGAGAACAGTGAAATTCACCTGTCCGTAGCATTGCAGCCCAATTTTAATTCCTGTTTTGCCAAAAAAATATTTTGTCCCGGTATCCTCTGTCCAGGTGGAGCTAGCGTGGAAGTACAGCTTCACAGAAGGTTAGACACTCGAAAGGATTTTATGGATAAGCAACATTATCCGATTCCAACATTTGTCTTTTTTCAAATGTTAGCAAGTTAATGGGCTTGCATAATTGGAATCACTGCAGAGAACGGCACCAATGCCATGTCTGCAAAAATCAAGAGTCTAGATTTTAAAGTCTAGATTTTCATAGAATCATAGAATCCCAGGGCTGGAAGAGACCTCAGGAGTCATCGAGTCCAGCCCCCTGCCCACAGCAGGACCAATCCCAACTAAACCATCCCAGCCAGGGCTTTGTCAAGCCGGGACTTAAATACCTCTAGGGATGAAGATTCCACCCCCTCCCTAGGGAACCCATCCCAGTACTTCCCCACCCTCCTAGGGAAATAGTTTTTCCTAATATCCAACCTGGACCTCCCTCACTGTAACTTGAGCCCATTGCTCCTTGTTCTGCATCTGTCACCACTGAGAACAGCCTCTCTCCAGCCTCTTGGGAACCCTCCTTCAGGAAGCTGAAGGCTGCTCTCAAATCCCCCCTCACTCTTCTCTTCTGCAGACTAGATAAGGCCAAATCCCTTGGCCTCTCCTCGTAGGTCATGCACTCCAGCCCCTAATCATTTTGGTTGCCCTCCACTGGACCCTCTCCAATGCATCCACATCCTTTCTGTAGTGGGGGCCCAGAACTGGAGGCAATACTCCAGATGTGGCCTCACAAGAGCCAAATAAAGGGGAATAATCACTTCTCTAGGTCCACTGGCAATGATCCTCCTAATGCAACCTAATATGCCATTCGCCTTTCTCCTCGTAGGTCATGTGCTCCAGCCCCCTAATCATTTTCCTCTAAGTAACAACAGATTATATTCTGCCCTGAACAGAATCTGTAAGGGGCTAGTCAACATATTCACTGAGTTGCCAAATAATTTCTGATCGTGAAAGTGAGTCTTGATGTTGGTTATGCACATTGTCTTCCAGCGGGCAGGAGATTTTCAGAAATGTGGAAGCAGAGATAACATTCTAATGGAAGGCCCAATGCTGCCTGATAAGCCACTAATCTGTGTGAACCACACAGGCAATAATGAGCATCAGCAGGTTTTTTTAAAGGTTATTATGATGGCAAGAAAAATGATTAGCTGCTTCCGCTGATCTTTATTAATCAGCTACCCTGGTACATTCTACATTGACAGAGCCAGGAGGGCTGTAGTGTCCAGAAATCCGACGTCAGGGCAGTGACGTCACCAATCCAAAGGGACAGAAGGTTCTACATTTTAGTGTCTCCTCATGCATATTGTCTCTGGACCTACCTGTGGCCTTGATTGCAGGCTGTTCCCCTAGCAGCAGTTTTAACCGCTTGGCATGGATTTTGCCTTGGTAATGCGATTCGGCCACCACTGCTGAGGTGAAGGACATGTTACAGAGCGTGCAGCATTTGTTCTTGTCCACTGAGTCAGCATCGCTACCCTGGATGGAGACAAAAGAAGCAGATATGTCAAGTAAAACCAGACAGCCGTCCCGGAATGTCACTGCAAGGCCACAACCATCCCAGAAATCCACCCAGGCCAAGCACCCACTTTCCAATGGGATTTGGGCACCTCCGAAAACCAGAGTGTCTAAGTTATTGGGTGTCCAAACTGAACCCCTGTCTTCGGTGTGGCAGGGCCTGTGCCTGGCTGCAGGGGCACTACAGGGGTAAGTTTAATTGACACGGGTGTCCAAGTGGAAGGCTGCTGCAGACAGGAGAAGAATGCCTGCAGGAAGGCTGAGCACTATCTCCCCAGACTCGTAAGAAGATAAGAGCGGCCAGACGGGGTCAGCCCAAAGGTCCATTCAGCCCAGTGTCCTGTCTGCCCACAGTGGCCAATGCCACGTGCCCCAGAAAGACTGAACAGAACAGGGGATCATCACGTGACCCCTCTCCTAATATCCATTCCCAGCCTCTGACAAACAGAGGGTAGAGACACCATTCCTACCCATCCTGGCTAGTAAGCATTGACGGACCTAACCTCCATGAATTTATCTAGCTCTTTTTCTAACCCTGTTATAATCTTGGTCTTCACAACATCCTCTGGCAAGAAGTTCCACAGGTTAACTGGGCATTGCATGAACAAATACTCCCTTTGGTTTGTTTTAAACCTGCTACCAATTCATTTCATTTGGTGACCCCTAGATTTTGTGTTATGGGAAGGAGGAAACAACACTTCCTTATTCACTGTCTCCACACCAGTCATGATTTTATAAATCTCGATCATCTCCCTCCTTTAGTCATCTCTTTTCCAATCTGAAAAATCCCAGTCTTATTAATCTCTCCTCAATGGAAGCCATTCCATACCCCTAATCATTTTTGCTGCCATTTCTGAAATGTTTCCAGTGCCAAGATATCTTTTTTGAAATGAGGCGAACACACTGGCATGCAGTATTCAAGATGCAGTCTTACCATGGATTTATAAAGAGGGAATATGATATCATCTGTATTTTGCCGATGGCCCCTTGTTTGGTCTGTATTTATGAGGACTCTCTCCTACCAGTGGCTTTGCTTGGTTTCCGCCCACCTTCCCCAGCAATGCACAGGGCCCCCGGGATTGTCTGTTTGAAGATCACTGGAAGGTTCATTGTATTTTAAATCTCCTCTGGGTTAACGCTGCTGCACAGGGTGTCAGGCATTTCAGACACAGGCTAGAGAGACGATGGGGAAAAGACTGCTTTAAAAATAAAATGACTACTGAGCAATCGGATGGATGGCCGGCCACGTCTGTGGCAGTGGGTCTGGCAGAGCATTTCAAAGCAACACCTGATAACACTCATTACAGTCTGTACCATACCAGTGATCAGACAGGGCTTCAATTATTAATCAGAGATCAGTAAATTGATCATTCATGCTTGACTAAAGGTGAAGCCTTCTATAGGGCTCCCACTGGACAGGCCGAGGTAGGACAGTTTCCTGATCTAGCCCAATGAATTTCTTCTCTACTCTTTCCAGGTTCGCTAAAGGCAAACTTTTAGGCCTTGTCTACACTGGCACATTTTATCACCTAAAATTGCCTTTTGGTGACAAACAGTGAGAACGTTTACACTGCAATGTCACTTTTTTGTTGCCAAAGCTGGGTGTTTTTCCTGACAAAACTTCCAGACCTGTGAGACTTTTGTCTTTTCCCCTCCCTTTATTGTCAACAGAGAGCCAGTGTGGACTCTGCTGTTTGTTTTCTCAAGAGAACTGGCTTCCACCAGTATCCCACAATGCCTGCCCTGATGGCTCTGCTCAGTTTTTTGTGATTTCTGCAGCCCTGTGCCCCTCCCCTTTTCAGACCCCCGGGAAGTATCCGACAATGGAGTGAGCTGCTCCGTTTGGCAAAATAACAAAGAACAAGTCATTGGACTGCTCCTGTTCTGCCCTGCTAGGAACCTAGAGACAGGCTGCTGCTGCAGGGGGAGGACTGGAGGGATGGCGGTGCTGCTTGGACATCCCTCTGCACAAGGAGCTCACAGAGCTATGAGGGCATCCCAAGAAGTGCAGGGATCGGCTCTGCCTTCCCACAACACGGCCCTGTGGGATGCTTACCCACAATGCTTTGCCCTGTCAACAGGGTGCTAGCAATATGGCCATGAAATATTGCCAATAGGAGGCAGAAAAACCGGTTTGGCCAGTTTTCACTTTTGGTGAACGTTGTGCAGTGTCAATGGCGTGTTGGCAGGTGTGCTCTCTTGGCCCAATGTGAACCCTGCTCAGAGGGGGTGGAATGATTTTGTTGGCAAAAGTGCCATCGAACGTTTCCCCTGCCTGACTTTCCAACATGGCCGTGTCACTAAATACTGTGTAGCACAGACAAAGCCTTAGTACATGAGCAATGGGGAACAAGCCCAGTCTTCCCATTCAGCATGCTTTCGAGTCCAGTGCCAGGGTCTAGGCGGGTTCACAAACAGGCCTCTCATTTGGCTTCCAGCATCTCCACTTCTTCTAAAGAATCTCTAGTCTCCTGGCTGCAAAGAAACCCACCATAACGTCACCTGAGTGCAACCAATGGAGCGACGCCTGCTCATCGACACGTGTCCAGTTTTCAACCGAACAGAATCCGGGCAATCCTATTAATCGAAGAGATCCTTAAACAACAGCTCGGAGTCACAAACTGCCCAGTTCACCTAACTGGGGGCTAACTCATGCTCAAGGATGATACTTTATATTGACAACTATTTCACAGCTCAAAGTCAAGTATTAAGAGGAGTAGTGGCTCTTCTGGCTGGTGGGAGTTGCCTAGCACGTTTGGGTGTGCCTGAAAAATATTAAACAACAACATGACACAAGGAAGAAACATTTATATCCCAATATTAATCGTGTCTGGGAATTCTGAGCTCCTATTCTGGCGCTATTTGCAGAGAGAATTCCGACACAGAATGTCTGACCATCCCCAGCATTTCATCTGCTGACGCGTACTGTAGAACAAGATTCATGACCTGCAGCAATTATTTACTACTGCTAACGAGATAAACCCAAAGGCAAGAGCAGCACAATGGCACCGACTAAGAGAAGAATTACTGTTTGCTACAGAAAACTTGCTTAGCAGACAGTACCACTAGCCAGGAAAAATCTGCTTTCTGCTTCTTCCCTTGTGGAAGATGAACTTTTGAACTCTGCCAGGTGACCATTTGGATATGGAAAAGAGGTGGACGTTTTGCATGTAGCAGTGAAAACCGTGCCCAGGAAACTAATGCTGCCAAAGACTTCTTATCCAGTGGGTTCTTATCTGTGGCCAGCTGCTCTGCTTCAGAGGGCAGGGGGTTGTCTCTAAAAGGAAGCATATTGTGCAGGGGTGAGTGTTGCACTGCACATGTGGTACTGACACCCAGAATTAGAGTCATGGGCATTTCTATGGGAAGTCCCTGTGCATTAAATTAATGGAGATTGCCTATCTCCTAGAAAGGACCTTGAAAGGTCATTGAGTGCAGTCCCCTGCCTTCACAGCAGGACCAAGTACCATCCCTGACAAATTTTTGCCCCACATCCCAGGATTGAACTCACAACCCTGGGTTTAGTGAGCCAATGCTCAAACCACTGAGCTATCCCTCCCCCCATGCAGAGCTCCCCGTTATGCTTTCCAGAGTTGGGAATCTCTTTTCACAAATGACCAAAATTTTGCATGAAATTGGGTGCCCCCTAAAACTTTGGAAAAACAGATTCTGGGGGAGACCATCACGTTCCAAAGAAACGCATGCTCCAGAAAAGCAGGAGACTCCTGATGTTGGATGATATTTTCAAATGGATAGAGAGTTGTCCTGCTACATACCCAGAAACACTAAGAGCTCCTTAGGACCACGGTCTGCACACGTTGGAAGCGCCATGGATCCTGGCAGCTGCTTATCTGGTGTAGAGGTGATCTCTGATGTAATGCTCCATGCAGGCATGGCTGGCCAGTGTCACACCACACACAGGAGCCAGGCTGCCTATGGGACGAGAAGCCATCGCAGAAGACGTGTGCATACCTGTGCCCCTCCAATGGGCTCACCTACAAACTATAGGAGCACCAATACGGCTCCACAAGGGTGAATGCTCCAGGAGCTGCTGCTAATGAATTTATAATCAGTTCTGACTCAGCTCACGCTGCCTCCGTTTTCATGGCCAGCTGCCACGCAAATTTAATTGTTGCTGAATTGAGTCCATTAAATTAAAAATGTGCTTCTGGCCACGGTCTGGAACCCAAGAGATAATTTCTCCCAGTGCTGTGATATCACCAACCGCCCCCCCACCCACCGGTGTTCTCTTTCAAATGGATAAATACCCCCATGCCCAATATTACAGAGACATGCGCACATGCTGCCCCTGCTGCTCTGAGCCAGCACAGTTCTGGAGGACAAATGTACCCACAAGGCCTAATTTATATTTCATGAATAATTAGTGGGCCACATCAAGCAGATTTGAGAGATTAGCGAGATGCATTGGCGATGTCGCCGTTGCCCCTAGCGCTGGGGATCAGACCGATATAGGGATGTCCCAAAAGGACACTACGCTGGAGAGAGCCAGCTCTGGAAATGTGGCAACAGCAGGGTTTGCGGGATGGATGCTGCCGTTATGGCAGAACCTCCCACTGGTGACATGTCAACGAACACAGCGCTGAGGGCAGAGGAAAGGCGCCAAAGGGCTGCTCCAAAGGGCAGCAAGGCCGGCAAGAGAGGCGTGAGCAGGGCTTGGAGTGGCAAGTGATAGGCTGGGCGATGAAAGGGTCAGGCTTCCGTTCTGGCTGGCCGAGGAAGGCAGCTCAGGAGAGGCCCATTTCTCGGAGGAAAGGAGAGCCCAAGAGGCTGCCAGAAAAGGAGACTGGCAAGGGGAGAATAAAGGTTCTAAGAGGGATGAAGTGGGAACTTAGATGAGGCCTGCAGGGAGCTGGCCCCCAAACGGTGAGTCCTGGGGAAACAGGAACAGCATGGGTAGCTCCATCTCCTTCTCAGGCACAGGAGAGATGGCCAGCCCCAGG